ATCTTTCCAATGGAAGCTGGGTTGGCATCTTTGCATTGGGGGCGGGGTTGGCATCTTTGCATTGGGAGCTGGGTTGGCATCTTTTGCATTGGGAGCTGGGTTGGCATCTTTTGCATTGGAAGCTGGGTTGGCATCTTTGCATTGGGAGCTGGGTTGGCATCTTTGCATTAGAAGCTATGTAAAAATTCTCGATCCGTGCAATTTCAATTTAAAACCATCAAAGCGCTTCGGCGATGTATGATAACATTGATTGCAACTGCGAAATTTCCACAGGTGGGTGAGATTCCGGCCAGAAGAGAGATGTGTGGACTTGACCTTGATGTTGCAGCATATCCGCTTCCCGCTGATGACGTCACACGAGCTCGACAAACTCCGGGAAATTCCGATGTTACGGGAAAACTCTCTTGCCATGGCCTTAGTGGAAGAGTCAAGGGCATATGAGTAAGTCAGAGTTAGAGGCTACACAAGTCAATGACAGGAAAGTACTTTCTTCCTGTCAAAGCCTAGGGAAGTTTGGGGGTTGGGGGGTGGCGGGGGATTAGGGTAGTCGATGTAAACTTATCTATGACAGGGAAGTGAATGTTTGTCTAATCTTGTCAATGGCAGAGTTGGGGGTGTCTACCACTTTATGTCCATGACATGACACTTCTCGTGAAGTGGAAGCAATCTGACACTTAATACAAGCCAGTTACTTTGGCATTCAATGAAGTCGGGTAAGAATCTTCCAACCAGTCATTAGTAAGTGCATTGAAGTCAAAGTCACATATTCAAGGTAGATCAGATGGTGTAACTGCTTCATCTCCAGAGATTCTATGCCATTGTGTTTATCTTTTTTTTTAAAATCATTAAATAATCAGGAATAACAACAAACCAAAAGATCGGGCTAAATGACTACCATTGACTTTGATCCACCTGTTCCCTAGGACCATTGATTACAGCGAGAGACTGGCTTGGCCACGCCACAACTGCATCTCCAGGTGTCTGTTCCCGTCACGTGACTTCATCATCTGGACCGCTGACCGGGACAAGGGGCTGCACTTTTACTCCATCATCGATGGTATCCACCATAAGGTCACGACCTTTGGTCAGTTCACCACGCCCACTTCCAGTGGGTTCACCTTTGACAGTACGTCCTCAGTCTGCTGCTTCGGGGACAAGATCTATTTCACAGGTGAGACTGTGTTAGTTTCTATTTGTTGAGTTGGAACATGGGCAGTAGGTAAAACATTGGCAGTAGGTAGAACATGGGCAGTAGGTAGAACATTGGCAGTAGGTAGAACATTGGCAGTAGGTAGAACATTGGCAGTAGGTAGAACATGGGCAGTAGGTAGAACATGGGCAGTAGGTAGAACATTGGCAGTAGGTAGAACATGGGCAGTAGGTAGAACATTGGCAGTAGGTATAACATTGGCAGTAGGTAGAACATGGGCAGTAGGTAGAACATGGGCAGTAGGTAGAACATTGGCAGTAGGTAGAACATTGGCAGTAGGTAGAACATTGGCAGTAGGTATAACATGGGCAGTAGGTAGAACATTGGCAGTAGGTAGAACATTGGCAGTAGGTAGAACATTGGCAGTAGGTAGAACATTGGCAGTAGGTAGAACATTGGCAGTAGGTATAACATGGGCAGTAGGTAGAACATGGGCAGTAGGTGGAACATGGACAGGAGGTGGAACATTGGCAGTAGGTGGAACATTGGCAGTAGGTATAACATGGACAGTAGGTGGAACATTGGCAGTAGGTGGAACATGGACAGTAGGTGGAACATTGGCATGGTAGAACATTGGCAGTAGGTAGAGCATGGGCAGTAGGTAGAACATGGGCAGTAGGTAGAACAGTGGCAGTAGGTAGAACATGGGCAGTAGGTAGAACATGGGCAGTAGGTGGAACATGGACTGGAGGTGGAACATTGGCAGTAGGTGGAACATTGGCCGTAGGTATAACATGGACAGTAGGTGGAACATTGGCAGTAGGTGGAACATGGACAGTAGGTGGAACATTGGCAGTAGGTATAACATGGACAGTAGGTGGAACATTGGCAATAGGTGGAACATGGACAGTCTCTAAATTTGAAACTGTTTTTTTTAGCATGTAATATTGGTTGATCAGATTATAGCTAATCTCTCCTTACATGCAGGAGGCGAGTTCAACACCGACCTGACCTGGAGTGTAGATAGCAGCACTGGAGAGGTGAAAGTCCTTGCCAAAATGCCCCGAGGACGAAAGTTCCACAGCATGGTGGCAGCACGCGGTTGTATCTATTGTCTTGGTGGCCAGGATAAGCGGGGATACTCCGGTGAGAAATTTAGAATACTTAACTTTTATAGCTACACAAAGTCATCCAACTATTGCAAGACGCTGTCAAGATTCGATCTATTTCCCCCTTTACATAAATTTACATTTGATATACCTTATATCTCATTACGAAAAAAAATATATTAAGGCTGTTTGTAGTAATGGCTCTAGGCTCTAACCGCTGTGATGTTTACAGTGCTAGAATGCGTGGATGTCTACATCATCGAGAAGGATTTGTGGGTGAAAGTGGGACACCTCTCTGTGCCAGCCTACAACATGGCAGCCGTCACCAGCGGGGGCGCCATCTACCTCATAGGAGGGGTCGACCACTCCGGGCAACCGCTTCGGATCATCCAATGTTTCGTCGCCCTGAGGTCCGGGTTGTACTCGGCGTTCAAGTTTGACATCCCGAACATGCCCCCCAGTCTGCTCAGCGCCAGGGCGGTCACTTCCGGTCTGGACGCCATGGTTTATATCGTCTGCGGGCATGGGGAGGTAAATCTTTGCATTGAGTTTGATTTGTTTGTATGGATCGATTTGATAAGGTCATTTATCAAATACATTCTGGTAGTCTTATGGAAGTGACTTTTTTGGTGTGACCTTGAGGGGTTTGGCCTTGTCGTGTGACCTTGTGTGTATGAGTATGTTTGTATGATCTCGACTGTTATGGTCATGGGCGCCCGCAGAAAACCTTCTAAGGGGAGGGGGGCAAAAAATCGATTAACTTTCCAGGGGGGGGGGGCAACAATTGTTTAGTAATGTTTTAATATAGTTTTAATTTACTGTAGCGTATTTATATGGTGAACGAACGGATAGGACATCAGCTTAGTTACTTTCTCTTTATTTTCTCTTTACTTTAATACATTTTTTGTCTATTTTTGTCTAAAAAATTGTTATCCAATCAATCCAGGGGGGGGGGGGCAAGTGCCCCACCTTGCCCCTACCTGCGGGCGCCCATGGTTATGGTTTCTTCTACTTAATTGAATTTAAAAATAAAACATTTGCTTGTATTGATTTGAATTTTTAACGCAAGTGTGGGTGTGACTGTGACTGAGTTTCAGTGTGACTGTGAGTGTGATTGTGATTGTGAGTTTCAGTGTGACTGTCAGTGTGAGTGTCAGTGTGAGTGTGATTGTGATTGTGAGTGTCAGTGTGATTGTCAGTGTGACTGTGTGTTTCAGTGTGAGTGTGAGTTTCAGTTTCAGTGTGAGTGTCAGTGTCAGTGTGATTGTGAGTGTCAGTGTGATTGTCAGTGTGACTATGTGAGTGACCGTGTGAATGTGAGTGTCAGTGTGGGTGTGATTGTGAGTATGAATGTGAGAGTGTCAGTGTAAGTTTCAGTGTAAGTGTGAGTTTTAGTGTCAGTGTGAGTGTCAGTGTGACTGTGTGAATGTGAGTGTCAGTGTGGGTGTGAGTTTCAGTGTGAATGTGAGTGTCAGTGTGAGAGTCAGCGTGACTGTGTGAGTGACCGTGTGAATGTGAGTGTCAGTGTGGGTGTGATTGTGAGTGTGACTGTGAGAGTTTCAGTGTCAGTGTAAGTTTCAGTGTAAGTGTGAGTTTTAATGTCAGTGTCAGTGTGAGTGTCAGTGTGACTGTGTGAATGTGAGTGTCAGTGTGGGTGTGAGTTTCAGTGTGAATGTGAGTGTCAGTGTGAGTGTCAGTGTGACTGTGTGAGTGACCGTGTGAATGTGAGTGTCAGTGTGGTTGTGAGTGTGACTGTGAGAGTGTCAGTGTAAGTTTCAGTGTAAGTGTGAGTTTTAATGTCAGTGTCAGTGTGAGTGTCAGTGTGACTGTGTGAATGTGAGTGTCAGTGTGAGTGTCAGTGTGACTGTGTGAGTGACCGTGTGAATGTGAGTGTCAGTGTGGTTGTGAGTGTGACTGTGAGAGTGTCAGTGTAAGTTTCAGTGTAAGTGTGAGTTTTAATGTCAGTGTCAGTGTGAGTGTCAGTGTGACTGTGTGAATGTGAGTGTCAGTGTGAGTGTCAGTGTGACTGTGTGAGTGACCGTGTGAATGTGAGTGTCAGTGTGGTTGTGAGTGTGACTGTGAGAGTGTCAGTGTAAGTTTCAGTGTAAGTGTGAGTTTTAATGTCAGTGTCAGTGTGAGTGTCAGTGTGACTGTGTGAATGTGAGTGTCAGTGTGAGTGTCAGTGTGACTGTGTGAGTGACCGTGTGAATGTGAGTGTCAGTGTGGTTGTGAGTGTGACTGTGAGAGTGTCAGTGTAAGTTTCAGTGTAAGTGTGAGTTTTAATGTCAGTGTCAGTGTGAGTGTCAGTGTGACTGTGTGAATGTGAGTGTCAGTGTGGGTGTGAGTTTCAGTGTGAATGTGAGTGTCAGTGTGAGTGTCAGTGTGACTGTGTGAGTGACCGTGTGAATGTGAGTGTCAGTGTGGTTGTGAGTGTGACTGTGAGAGTGTCAGTGTAAGTTTCAGTGTAAGTGTGAGTTTTAATGTCAGTGTCAGTGTGAGTGTCAGTGTGACTGTGTGAATGTGAGTGTCAGTGTGGGTGTGAGTTTCAGTGTGAATGTGAGTGTCAGTGTGGTTGTGAGTGTGACTGTGAGAGTGTCAGTGTAAGTTTCAGTGTAAGTGTGAGTTTTAGTGTGAGTGTGAACGTCAGTGTGAGTGTGAGTGTAGATGTATTAGATTTAATTGGGTCATGTTTTAACATAATATTAACTCTTTCACTTCAGTTCACTTTTTCATTAGGAATTCTTTGCCTTTTATTTTTTAAAAAAACGACAATTGAATAGACTTATCAATGATGCAATTAATACTAGTCAAACAAAGCTACAATTGCTACATCAGGTGGAATTCTTTCCCTTAAAGTTAGGACGTAAAGATATACAAATTCTTGTGTTCCATCATCTATCGCAATTTACGAGCGCGCCCCCGACTACCACGGTTGTTACACAATCTAACTAATCACTCTTTGAGACAATATTGTCACTAATTGAGTAAAGTTCCATGGCACATGACGGCTATTGTTTACGCTTGAGAAATACTTAGTCGTTTGGTAAACTGTTATAGTTTAAAATTAACTTCTGTAAGAATACTTATCTTTCTGTTCAAAATGAAAATTTTAATTTAAAAAACAAAAAACATTTCCATTTATTTGGATCGATAAAAGAATCTTATCTTATCATTCGTAATAGCACGTTTAAAAAAAAAATGTTAGAAATTGTTAACAGCTCATCATCTTAGGCTTATTAAAATAGCGTCGAGATTTATTGATCTTGTGGTTTCTAACTAGTCTGCACCCTCCACCGTTTAGGTCTACCGTTTCGACCCGGAGAAGAGAGAGCTGAGCCACCTTACAACTCTGAACAACCTCAGCGAGAACCCAAGGGTCCGGTTCGGACTGGCCCACATGGGCGGCTGCCTGGTGGTCATCGGCGGTCATCAGCTGGGCCACTCCATGAGGGAGCCCGTCCGGTCCGTGTGTCTCGACATCGCCACCAAGCTGGAAGTCCGCGATTACTCCCCCTTGTTGCCCGGGGAGATCGTCAACACGTGCCTGGCGGCCAAGCTCAACGCCAGCATCTTGAAGGTGTTTACCAACTGACCCGACGCCGAAGGTCAAGGTTCTTAGATCTGATTTTTTATTGTATACGTTACAGAAATTGTTTACTGAATTATTTTTTTTTAAAGGTTTGAGATATTCTGAGTTATTATATTCTTGTATCAAAGTTTAACATCTGAGCATCCTGAATAACATAACTTTTTTTTTTAGAAGTTTAGCGAGTATGGAATCGTAATTGTATCAATCAAACATAAACCGATTGGGCCACTAACTGCTTGTCATATGTCAATAAAAGGGCAATGCAAGTTCTGCTTTTATTAATTATTAGCTGAAAATAATTGGCGCCGGTGGTGCATCTATGGTTAGTGCGAGACAAGCTTTTTGATGCCCGATTCCCCCCCCCCCCAAACCAACCCACAAAACCTCAGAAGATGTCCAAAATGATGCCCCTCAATACAAGAGAGAAACAATGGCACCAAGATGGCTTTCCCCTACCCCTTCACGCCAATGCCAGGTTCTGAGGTTCGGTTAATTTTGGTGGTCAATTTACTAGCCACACGTGTGGTTAACTGAAAAGACCAGGCCTCATATACATCGAGTAATTTGTTTTATTTCCTGATGTAAGTGACATCAAATATGTTTCTGGACCCTATACCGATTGGTCTAGCAAGGCGAAAGCCCATTTTTCCTGTTATGACGTTGGTTGTTCTCAGCTCAGATCCCAAGTGTTGAAAGATACTCCAATATGAACTCTAACACATTTGTTGAAATAATCAGCCCGCAGGATGACTTCATCAATCGCAGGCCAAATTTAGACTTCTGAAAATATCCAGGGAATGTATAATGTATTTATGTGAAGACCTTTCCCTAAAGTTTGGACTGTCAACTGCTTATACTCGAGCATGTATACAGAATTCTTGTATCTGCCATTTGATATTAAGACACGAATGAACATCAGAGACAACGCTAATGCCGTGTGTGAACCAACCGGCCATGGACTTACGGTGGCTGTCGTGTGTGAACCAACCGGCCACGAACTTACGGTGGCTGTCGTGTGTGAACCAACCGGCCATGGACTTACGGTGGCTGTCGTGTGTGAACCAACCGGCCATGGACTTACGGTGGCTGTCGTGTGTGAACCAACCGGCCATGGACTTACGGTGGCTGTCGTGTGTGAACCAACCGGCCATGAACTTACGGTGGCTGTCGCGTGTGAACCAACCGGCCATGAACTTACGGTGGCTGTCGTGTGTGAACCAACCGACCATGGACTTACAATGGCGGTCGGTCGCGTAAAGGCTTCGCGTTTTTATGTTGAAGTATTTCTTTCTAGCGTTCCACTTTATTGCTTGATAGAAGAGTTTTAACTTTTTATATATGTTCATTAACTTTGATATGTAATACTGCTATCCTTTCATGTTTGTAAACGATTTGTAAACCATCTGGGGAGATATTTACTTTTTGTAAGACCGATGGTATTTTATTGATGTTTTCTGAGCCGATTTGTTAATAAAGCTTGGGTATAGTTGTCCAGTGTGTTTGGTCTCCATGGTAACGTCCCTGTTACGTTGTTTTGTTTGTATTCTATCTTGTTGTACGAATGTTTAACGTCTCCTATGGATTGGATCGCTGTGTCGTGTAAGACTTGAACAAATCTTAAGATGATTACCTCAGACAAACAGGGCGGCTAACATTGTAAAGTCTTAAAACTACATTTCAAGAGCATTTAGTCGTCTTGTCAGCAAACTAAGCACACTACCAAATCTAGAAAATTTAACATAGATTAATACCCACAATAGATATACGACAATATTACTACCATTTTGCATGTACATGTGATAACATACTGTTAAGTTACCTAATATATATTATTAATTTATTCTATTTTAACGCAACATTTCATAACAAGGATGGAGGGGGAAAAATGTGCTCGAATTGAAATTCCTCAAACGCTCCCAAGCGCTGCACGGAAACCTGATAGTCAACGCTCACACTGAAGAAGATGCTAGAACCTTGTAGTATGGCATAGGTTTTGGCCAGGCTTGTGGCACAGGGGTAAGGTTATCATCGTTTCTGAGAGGTCACAGGGTCGAGTGTCGTGTGGGATCTTTGCGCGCGGCTAGTGGCAGGCCAATTCTGACCGAAAAGTCCCTCAAAGAAAACCGGTGTCAACTTGGTGTGGGATTAAAAAATCAAAATGTCGACCAAAAAAATATTATTTTATTCATAGCAGTTAATTAATCAGAATAAATTAGGATTTTTGTTTTTCCCATTTACATTAAAATGTTAAATACAATGTCTAATGAATGTGTATCCTATTTCTTTAGTCTGGGCAGCTTATGTATACCATCGTAACTTGAAGGTCGTAGTCAGTAAACGAAAAAAATTGATTTTCTTAATTAAATATTTGAAAAACGAAAAAAATTGATTTTCTTAATTAAATATTTGATTACAAATGCTCTTTAAACTTTGAGCCATGAATGAGCCAATATTTGATTCCAAATGCTCTTTAAACTTTGAGCCATGAATGAGCCAATATTTGAACAATGCAAAGATGAGCCTGCTTTAAAGTGAAGTCTATTTTTTTCCTTAAGTTTTCAAAGTGGATGGGCAAGGTCATTTCAGCTTTTGAAGTGGGTGGGCAAGGTTATTTCAGCTTTTGAAGTGGGTGGGCAAGGTTATTTCAGCTTTTGAAGTGGGTGGGCAATGTTATTTCAGCTTTTGAAGTGTGCGGGCAAGGTTATTTCAGCTTTTGAAGTTGGTGGGCAAGGTCATTTCAGCTTTTGAAATGGGTGGACAAGGTTATTTCAGCTTTTGAAGTGGGTGGGCAAGGTTATTTCAGCTTTTGAAGTGGGTGGGCAAGGTTATTTCAGCTTTTGAAGTGGGTGGGCAATGTTATTTCAGCTTTTGAAGTGTGCGGGCAAGGTTATTTCAGCTTTTGAAGTTGGTGGGCAAGGTCATTTCAGCTTTTGAAATGGGTGGACAAGGTTATTTCAGCTTTTGAAGTGGGTGGGCAAGGTTATTTCAGCTTTTGAAGTGGGTGGGCTAGGTTATTTCAGCTTTTGAAGTGGGTGGGCAAGGTTATTTCACCTTTCGAAGAAAGTTCATTGCTAGTCATCGTGGGTGAATGTGTACAGACAAATATGCTGGGGCAGTGGCACGGCTTAGGGTGTGGGAGAATGTGAACAAACTAATATAATGTGACATTTGCATAGCTAAGGGTTTCGGAATATTTAAAGATATCCTCCCCCCCCCCTCCCCCAGGGGCCCACTGTATTATATAGTGTTAACTGGCATAACACTTTGTAAACGGAAGTCTGTAAGTCAAAAATTATCACCTATAAATGTTTAGATTCAAGCGTCCTACCCATAATAATATCGTCCCCTCCCCCAAACCCCCCACCGATCTTCACGGGCTACGGTCAGACCAGGGATATGTTACACGAGCCATCCGAAAGGATTTGATTTTGCCATGGGTGGGATCCAAGTCTCCTGTTGCCAGGTCCTCGGTGTAGTGTAAACGGTTGTGTCCACTGTTGCCAGGTCCTCGGTGTAGTGTAAACGGTTGTGTCCACTGTTGCCAGCTCCTCGGTGTAGTGTAAACGGTTGTGTCCACTGTTGCCAGGTCCTCGGTGTAGTGTAAACGGTTGTGTCCAAAGGACATATACTGGATAACACAAGAAATAAAAGACATTGTGTGTGTTGGTAAGATGATTTTTTCTCTCTCGATTAGCGGCAGTCGGGGTCACACAAAAAACAGCGAGTGTTAAGGCCAGGTAATTCCACTTCCAAAATGAAGCTTCACAAAGTCTAGCAAATTCCTATGAAACCGTGCACACTTATCTCATTTAACAAAATCACGAATAACATAAACTGGTGTGAAGAGAGCTTAAAGGTTCCCTTCCTGTGCATACTTGGTCACCAGATGAAGAGGGAATGTTAATAAAAAATGAACGAAAGTTGCTCTTGGCCTTATTACTTCTTCTTCTAAAAAAAAACCCCCCCCCCCCCAAAAAAAAAAAAAAAAAAAATAAATAAAAAAAACTAGCCAAGATTGTCAGAATTATTTTTAGATTTTATCTGGTACCTATACCATGTGCCACTTAAACAGTATTATGTATATGAGTGTAAATTTTAACTGCGTATCTTGAATAGCGGGAACTTGTTGACATAATTCTTTTTCATCAATGGTTCTCAGTGTGTGGGTCGCAACTCCATAGGGGGTAGAACGAACCTTTTCCAGGGGTTGCCACCGGAAAGCACGTATACTCTACAGTTATGAAGTAGCAACAAAAATAATCTTGTGGCTGGGGGGGGGGGTCGCCACAAGATGAGAGAAACTGTGCTAAAGGGTAGGTGGCATTAGGATGGTTGAGAACCACTGTTTTGTACACGATCTCTGTCTCATCATTGGTTCCCACACCCCACTTTGTAGCTTCCTGAGTTACCCAAGGCAGTATATAGTAAAGCATAATATTCAGATCAAGCTTCCTGAGTTACCCAAGGCAGTATATAGTAGAGCATACTATTCAGATCAAGCTTCCTGAGTTACCCAAGGCAGTATATAGTAGAGCATACTATTCAGATCAAGCTTCCTGAGTTACCCAAGGCAGTATATAGTAGAGCATAGTATTCAGATCAAGCTTCCTGAGTTACCCAAGGCAGTATATAGTAGAGCATAGTATTCAGATCAAGCTGCCGAGTTACACAAATACTTAAACCAAACATATTAAGTTACACAAGGGAGACTATATATCTGTTTTACACCACTGGGACTGGTGTCGAGCTTGTGAAATGTTCCAGTCTTCCACGTTGGTAAATGTCAACGCCCCCATATTTGCTCGGGAGTCGTCCACACCGGATGGCGAAAATCAATGCCAACGTCTCGGAATTATCGCTGGCATTAATGGAACTGATGCTGGCCTACTTGGTCACAGAGGCAGCGGCGTTTACGGGAGGAATTAAGTTGCATGTCGAGGAAGTTAGCCCCCACTTTTCCCAACCAATCAGTCACCGGGGGCAAAGTGATGTCCTTACGCAATGGTTTCGTACACATGAGAGTGACGTGTTGTTGTTCTTGTTGTTTTTGTTTTTTTCGTTAATAACATGTACTCACGTTTTAAAATTGTCATTTTTTTGTTTTCATTTTTTAAAAAAAATGAATAAAATTTGGATGTCAGCGAATCTCTGGCTCAGTAAGTATAAAACTTTAAGACAGGCAACACGTCAGTGAATCTCTGGCTCAGTAAGTATAAAACTTTCAGACAGGCAACACGTCAGTGAATCTCTGGCTCAGTAAGTATACAACTTTAAGACAGGCAACACGTCAGTGAATCTCTGGCTCAGTAAGTATAAAACTTTAAGACAGGCAACACGTCAGTGAATCTCTGGCTCAGTAAGTATAAAACTTTCAGACAGGCAACACGTCAGTGAATCTCTGGCTCAGTAAGTATACAACTTTAAGACAGGCAACACGTCAGTGAATCTCTGGCTCAGTAAGTATAAAACTTTAACACAGGCAACACGTCAGTGAATCTCTGGCTCAGTAAGAATAAAACTTTCAGACAGGCAACACGTCAGTGAATCTCTGGCTCAGTAAGAATAAAACTTTCAGACAGGCAACACGTCAGTGAATCTCTGGCTCAGTAAGAATAAAACTTTAAGACAGGCAACACGTCAGTGAATCTCTGGCTCAGTAAGTATAAAACTTTAACACAGGCAACACGTCAGTGAATCTCTGGCTCAGTAAGAATAAAACTTTCAGACAGGCAACACGTCAGTGAATCTCTGGCTCAGTAAGAATAAAACTTTCAGACAGGCAACACGTCAGTGAATCTTTGGCTCAGTAAGAATAAAACTTTCAGACAGGCAACACGTCAGTGAATCTCTGGCTCAGTAAGAATAAAACTTTAAGACAGGCAACACGTCAGTGAATCTCTGGCTCAGTAAGTATAAAACTTTAAGACAGGCACCCCGTCAGTGAATCTCTGGCTCAGTAAGTATAAAACTTTAAGACAGGCACCCCGTCAGTGAATCTCTGGCTCAGTAAGTATAGAACTTTAAGACAGGCGCCACGTCAGTGAATCCCTGGCTCAGTAAGTATAGAACTTTAACACAGGCACCCCGTCAGCGAATCTCTGGCTCAGTAAGTATAAAACTTTAAGACAGGCGCCACGTCAGCGAATCTCTGGCTCAGTAAGTATAAAACTTTAAGACAGGCAACACGTCAGTGAATCCCTGGCTCAGTAAGTATAAAACTTTAAGACAGGCAACACGTCAGTGAATCTCTGGCTCAGTAAGTATAAAACTTTCAGACAGGCAACACGTCAGTGAATCTCTGGCTCAGTAAGTATAAAACTTTCAGACAGGCAACACGTCAGTGAATCTCTGTCTCAGTAAGAATAAAACTTTCAGACAGGCAACACGTCAGTGAATCTCTGGCTCAGTAAGAATAAAACTTTCAGACAGGCAACACGTCAGTGAATCTCTGGCTCAGTAAGTATAAAACTTTAAGACAGGCACCCCGTCAGTGAATCTCTGGCTCAGTAAGTATAAAACTTTAAGACAGGAACACGTCAGTGAATCTCTGGCTCAGTAAGTATAAAACTTTAAGACAGGCACCCCGTCAGTGAATCTCTGGCTCAGTAAGTATAAAACTTTAAGACAGGCGCCACGTCAGTGAATCTCTGACTCAGTAAGTATAAAACTATAAGACAGGCGCCACGTCAGCGAATCTCTGGCTCACTAAGTATAGAACTTTAACACAGGCACCCCGTCAGCGAATCTCTGGCTCAGTAGGTATAAAACTTTAAGACAGGCGCCCCATCCATGAATCAGGTTCCTTCAATTATGACGCTTTATATTCCACATGACTCTACCTTCCCTTTTATTATGTTGTTATATTCCATATCCGCTCGTGCGAAACAATTATCTAAATTGTTTTGTGACGGGGCAAAGTGGGAACGCTGGAGATAACAAGAGTTGGAGCTGAGGTTGTTGTGGCCAGATATTTTAAAGATCTTTTGTAACAAATCTTGTAGATTTTTGTAGTGTAAACTGGCCAGAAAAAAAAATATATTTAAACCATTCTTCTTAAGCAAAAGCTAAAAAAAAAAAAGAAAAAAAAAAAGTTCTGAATATTTCAAGGTCTTGCTTATTTTAGCCCCAGGGCGATGAGGCCTCTTTGGAGATAACAAGAGTTGGAGCTGAGGTTGTTGTGGCCAGATATTTTAAAGATCTTTTGTAACAAATCTTGTAGATTTTTGTAGTGTAAACTGGCCAGAAAAAAAATATATTTAAACCATTCTTCTTAAGCAAAAGCTAAAAAAAAAAAAGAAAAAAAAAAAGTTCTGAATATTTCAAGGTCTTGCTTATTTTAGCCCCAGGGCGATGAGGCCTCTTCATTGACCTTGACACAAGTCTTAAACCTAAAGCTTAACAGATACAAAAGACAACAAAGTGTTTGGAGTGACAGAAAGTAGTCCGAATTTGTAGAGAAACAAAACGCTGTCATGAAGGCATTTCAACATAAACAAAGTAATCTATGAAATGAGTTAAAGAATGAAACATGAATGAGATTTTACATGTTTTTAATTGGTATTGGATAATGAGTTTTTTTTAATTTTAAATTTCGATCAAATAGAATTCTTGAGATTGCTTAATTTGAAGGGGAGAAAACAACAACAACATTTCTAAAAGGAGAGAAATATTTCTTTGGTTGTTTCTTGGTTCTTAATTTGTCGTAAAAACTAAAATGATACTTAAATCATCGTCGAGTCCCATGGATTTAAAAAAAACGATAGCCCTCTTGAGCCGTCCCATCGTAAGAATCTGTCTTACACTATAAAATTATGTCATCTTGAGAATCTGTCCTCTACTGCGAAACTCTCTTATTTTTAGAGTCTGTCTTAAATGCAAAACTGTCTTGTAATACGCGTATCTTATTCAGGGTGTCTTTCTTTTCCGACAGAATATTTTCTGTTGCGTCTCTTTAACTTAGCGAATTCAAAAATGAAAAAAAAAAAAAAAGGTTAGTAGATTTTATTATTTTTTTTAGTGTTAACCCCTTGCTACTTCTACGTATAATTTTAATGTTAACCCATTGCCATTTCTACGTATAATTTTAATGCTAACCCATTGTCATTTCTACGTATAATTTTAATGTTAACCCTTTGCCATTTCTACGTATAATTTTAATGTTAACCCCATGCTACTTAACGTATAATTTTAATGTTAACCCTTTGCCATTTCTACGTATCATTTTAATGTTAACCCCTTGCTACTTCTACGTATAATTTTAATGTTAACTCCTTGCTACTTCTACGTATAATTTTAATGTTAACCCCATGCTACTTAACGTATAATTTTAATGTTAACCCTTTGCCATTTCTACGTATAATTTTAATGTTAACCCCATGCTACTTAACGTATAATTTTAATGTTAACCCTTTGCCATTTCTACGTATCATTTTAATGTTAACCCCTTGCTACTTCTACGTATAATTTTAATGTTAACTCCTTGCTACTTCTACGTATAATTTTAATGTTAACCCCATGCTACTTAACGTATAATTTTAATGTTAACCCTTTGCCATTTCTACGTATAATTTTAATGTTAACCCCTTGCTACTTCTACGTATAATTTTAATGTTAACCCCTTGCTACATCTACATATAATTTTAATGGTAACCCATTGCCATTTCTACGTATAATTTTAGTGCTAACCCCTTGCCAGTTCTACGTATAATTTTAGTGTTAAGCCCTTGCTATTTCTATGTATTATTTGACTTATTAATTGTATTCACCTGGTGTTAGGCTTATGCTCTTATAATTTTGTGTATATTATGTCATGCAAATTTCACCTTCTCTAAACACTTAAGCCTATAACACGACAAACATGGGTCGTTGTTTTTTAGCCATAACGAAAGACGTTGGATCCAGTCTCCTGATTGTCGGGTTTCGGCTGCCCCGGACTGATGTTCTGGGCTCGTGCAGACGCGGGGAGGTATCCGAGCGGCTGCCAGAACATCTTTCGCTTCATCCCCCTCATGGGGAAGTCCCCGCCCGGCCTTGCCGGGAAGGCGCCCGCGGCGGAAGTCCTTTTTTGATCGCTGATGGCAGATTCCAGTTGCTGGAGCGTCAGCGCATGCGCCTTAAGGACGTCCAGTATCGTGTCCTGCGTGAGTTCTGCAGGGATGTACGCGCGTCTTTCCTTGTCGCGAGTGTCGTCTAGCTGTTCTTCCAGGTCAAAGGTTAAGGACGGACACGTGCACGCGGATAAAATTGTTACTAAAACGATAGCACACGTGACATGAGATGACGTCATTGTAGAGCGTGGGGCGAAGAGGTGGCTCGGCTTTTTTTACTTCTTACAATCTGAAAATGACAAAAAGATAGATATACAATAACAGTAATCAAAGTTTAAATGCGTTGATTAAAATATTTGATACATATGGTGTATGAAGTCATGGGGGACTCATATAATATTATTATAGTAGTTAAAATTCATACAAATTGAAGGCCTGATTAAGAGGGGAGAGATTCCCCGGGCTCTAATGGGCTCCATAATAGATGCGTGTTCCAGTTCCAAAATGGGCTTTGGTGGTATTTTTATTTATGAAAATATTAGGGCGTCAATATGAATCTTGTCTCCCCGGGCTCCGAACACACTAGCTACGCTTCTGCTTGTAATAATGAAACAGTGCCAGAAAAACAAAAAAAGCATAGGCCCCAAAAAATGTACTATTCCAGCCTTGGGTCACGCAGCAAGTCCTGCCAACAGGGGGCCCGCGTTTTGTAGGTCTGGCTTGAAGGATATTCAGAGGGTGTGTCACAGTGGACAGCACAGATTGTTACGTTTTGATCAGCCATCGTATGTTCTGTCTACCGTTCTGTCGCTCTGATCGAAGTGAGACAACTCCTGTTCTGTCTGCTGTCTCATTCTTTCTGTGGCTCTGATCGAAGTGAGACAACTCCTGTTCTGTCTGCTGTCTCATTCTTTCTGTGGCTCTGATCGAAGTGAGACAACTCCTGTTCTGTCTGCTGTCTCATTCTTTCTGTGGCTCTGATCGAAGTGAGACAACTCCTGTTCTGTCTGCTGTCTCATTCTTTCTGTGGCTCTGATCGAAGTGAGACAACTCCTGTTCTGTCTGCTGTCTCATTCTTTCTGTGGCTCTGATCGAAGTGAGACAACTCCTGTTCTGTCTGCTGTCTCATTCTTTCTGTGGCTCTGATCGAAGAGGGCCACAACTCGCTCCATCCAATGTTAATAGGTATTGAATATGAGTGTTATTCCCAGTGTTATAAAAATTATTGTGCGATGGGGAGGACAATCTCTGTTTAAATAATTTCGTTAACCCGGGTTTTATTTCTCAGTATTCATGACATTCACCTGACATGACGATTTATTGAGAATTGCCTTTTAAAAAAAGTAATTGCTATATTTCAACAACATCCAAACAATAGAAGTTCGCTATTATGTTAAAAACTATAATTAAACAATCTGACAATGGCTTAAAATAGAGGACGAATTTTGTAAAACATTTAAAAAATATACAAATCTCAGAGGTTCCCAGCTTGGGGTATGAGTCATGACCCCCATTTAATAGAAGCAAATTGACACTCGAACCTCAAAACATTTTAAAATATATATATATATATATATATATATATATATATATATATATATATATATATAGTACGGTTATATAAAAAAAACATAGAATATATATATATATATATATATATATATATATATATATATATATATATATATAGTACGGTTATAGAAAAAAAGCATTGAAAATAAATGCAGTGTTATGAAAGTATCCCAACTTGACTAAGACATCGAAACATTTCTGGAACATTCTTTGTTTTATAAGTTCACTCTTAGGGTCGTCGACCTCCACAGAACTCCAAATGGGATCTCAGCTCATGGTTTGGAAACCCAGTTTCTAATGTATACAGAGCATATAAGACTAGAGGGGTAGGGGAATTTAAATACGTTTAAGAACCTCTACCCTAATAATCGTTTTAGACATAAAAAAAAGTAGATTTTTCGAAAATTAGGTTTATTATTTCACGCAGTTATTTCTTAAATAACTAGAAAAGATCACCCAGTGTTTAGTAAAACAAAATAATGCGTTTAAAAAGATATTTAACTCAAAATTTTAACGAGTGAACTTAAAAAAAAAAAATGATTCCATCAAATTTCCGTCTATCAATTTTCCGTCGACGAAATTTCTTTCAAACAAATTTCCGGATACGAATATATTGGTATCTTCATGAAACATTTACTTAACCTAAATAAATAAACGGAACATATTTCAAAACAGAACTCTTGTACTTAAGGCCGCATCTCATTGCCAATGTTCATGTCTAAAAATCTTGTGTTTGTAAGATCACTTCTCAGGTTCATGAACTTTCCTTTTGGCCCTAAGCTGTATTTTGCTCAAAATGTGTGTCTGTGGAAAGGGGGTGGGGGGGTGGGGGTGGGGGCGGGGGGTTCTAATATTTAAAAAAAATCTTAAACCCCCATATTTGTTCCCGACCCTGAATTGTATAATCGGGAAAATTACAAACAAAAAATATTATTATGTATCTAATTTTGTAAGATTATATTCCAAGCCCGTAAATCGATTGTGTTTGTTTTAGATATTGTTATCCACATAAAAATGAACCCACTCACTCTCGTGCTTTAACATTTCAAATGTATTTTCGCGAAATATTTCCAAAGATAGTATTTAAAACCTTTTGTTACCCCCATAAACAGTTGCCCACCCCATACCCCTCGACCGTTCTCGACACACCCCAGCGTGGAACCACAGCTTCTTCTGACCGCTGGGCTCGACAATCTCAAATAACACACTGCAGAAATATAACACGCCTAAAGAAAGATTGACCGCTGGGCTCGACAATCTCAAATAACACACTACAGAAATATAACACGACTAAAGAAAGATTGACCGCTGGGCTCGACAATCTCAAATAACACACTACAGAAATATAACACGCCTAAAGAAAGATTGACCGCTGGGCTCGACAATCTCAAATAACACACTACAGAAATATAACACGCCTAAAGAAAGATTGACCGCTGGGCTCGACAATCTCAAATAACACACTACAGAAATATAACACGCCTAAAGAAAGATTGACCGCTGGGCTCGACAATCTCAAATAACACACTACAGAAATATAACACGCCTAAAGAAAGATTGACCTATGCGAAACGGATTGCGCGGGGCCCAGTCTGGGTAGGGATTAGGATAATAAGTGAAAATTAAGATTTTGTATTAGAAAATAAATTCGTCTTTGCATTTTATTCATTCTTTACACAGTACAAAATCACGATCAAATTAACTTTACTTAACGAGCCGTGCGTGTAGCCAAGTCATACAGTATCTCATCAAAATGCTGTTTCCTACATAGATCACGCTCAATAGTAAGAATTTCCAAATTGTTCAATCTATCTTCGTGAATTGTTGACCTCAAGCAATTCTTGATTAGTTTGAGGCGCGAGAAGCTCCTTTCATCAGATGCCACAGTTACGGGGATTGTTACAAATATTCTGAGTGCAACAAAGTAGTTTGGGAAGGCAGTGTATCTGTCATTAGTGGACAGATAAGCCAACAATTTCTACCAGGGTTTTGGCGGTATTTGGTAGAATATGCCTTAAAGATTCCATTCCATCTGCTAATTCTCGCCCACATATATCTGCTGACTGGTCTGTTGATGACGCCAATGCTCGAGGCTCGCTGGGAGTAGACAAGGCTGAACAGGCTTGGACTGTAAATGGTCAAGGACGGTGTCTGTTTCATCTTACCCCACGTTCCCTAAAGGCTTGGACTGTAAATTGATAAGGACGGTGTCTGTTTCATCTTACCCCACGTTCCCCTCAAGGCTTGGACTGTAAATGGTCAAGGACGGTGTCTGTTTCATCTTTCCCCACGTTCCCCTCAAGGCTTGGACTGTAAATGGTTAAGGACGGTGTCTGTTTCCTCTTACCCCACGTTCCCCTCAAGGCTTGGACTGTAAATGGTCAAGGACGGTGTCTGTTTCATCTTACCCCACGTTCCCCTCAAGGCTTGGACTGTAAATGGTTAAGGACGGTGTCTGTTTCCTCTTACCCCACGTTCCCCTCAAGGCTTGGACTGTAAATGGTCAAGGACGGTGTCTGTTTCCTCTTACCCCACGTTCCCCTCACGGCTTGGACTGTAAATGGTCAAGGACGGTGTCTGTTTCATCTTACCCCACGTTCCCCTCAAGGCTTGGACTGTAAATGGTCAAGGACGGTGTCTGTTTCCTCTCACCCCCACGTTCCCCTCAATGACCAAGTGGGAGATAAAGCACCCGAGCAGCTAAATTTTATTCACTTGTCGTCATCACTTGAAACAACGACGTAATCGATTTAAAAACACTGTAACAACATAAAAACAGAATGAACAAGCTGACCTAGACATGATTATAAATTATAATGGTTTAATTTAATAATTTACCCCTAGAATTATTGCGGGGCCTCTGAAAGTGCGGGGCCCACTGCGGCCGCACAGGTTGCATTGGCCTAAGGCCGGCCCTGCCTAAGATGTTACACCCTAACCAGTCCCATAACCCATACCTACGCCAAATCTTGCCGTTGTCGTCATTGTTGCTGTTGGTGCTGCTGCGGCTGTTGCTGTCTGTCTGCTGGAAACGACTTTTAGAAAATAATTTTTTTAAATAAAAAAAATAAATGTCTTCAGAGAAGTTAATTCTGGCCTAACTGTTTCGGCCACAATGGCGGACAGAGCTTCCCTAGCAACGGCATCACGGGACAAACAACTTAACCCTGTGTTGACAGAGGATTGTTGAGCCATGCATAATTCATCGGCTGCTTTCCCCTGGAGCGGCAGGTCGAGGTTAAGTATCTCGTGTCCTCGGTTCTGTGGTGTACCGGCGTATTTACCTTCCCGTTCAACCGTCCTCATCTTCACTTAGGAGACATAGATTTGTTGTACTAGACTATACAACTTTCAACCAATGGGTGTTGGAGCTTTAGCTTTAATATCATATTATTAAATCCTACAACTTTATTTCTTCTCTTTTTCTATATTTTTGAGGCCCCACGATCAATGTATTGATCACTCTGGCTCCTATGTTTGTATAGGGGATTCGCGATGTTTCTGTGCCTGGTTTTGAAGAAGATACTTCACCGGTTGCAAGGGTGGCTACTCACCAATGGCATCAGGAACTGGGGGTTGGAAGGCAGGAGCCCATACACGCGAATGTTTCAAGTGTTTGTCACCTCAGCTGTTCCTTTTTTGGAAGCTTCTTGCAGTCCCTGATTGTCTTTGGCAGGAATGAGCAGTTCCTTTACTGTGTACATGTTGGTATGAGCCGGAACGGCCTGTCGTGGTCTCGTCGCAGCCTGGCCCGGGGGTCTGAGTCACATACTCTTGCTACTATTGGTATGTCTGAGTCACATACTCTCGCTACTATCGGTATGTCGGGTCACATACTCCCGCTAGCGTTTACACCCGGCGTTGTAAAATGTTCACACAACTCATTGTCCGGAACATTAACCAAACACAACTCATTGTCCGGAACATTAACCAAACACAACTCATTGTCCGGAACATTAGCCAAACACGACTCATTGTCCGGAACATTAGCCAAACACGACTCATTGTCCGGAACATTAGCCAAACACGACTCATTGTCCGGAACATTAGCCAAACACGACTCATTGTCCGGAACATTAGCCAAACACAACTCATTGTCCGGAACATTAGCCAAACACGACTCATTGTCCGGAACATTAGCCAAACACGACTCATTGTCCGGAACATTAGCCAAACACGACTCATTGTCCGGAACATTAGCCAAACACGACTCATTGTCCAGAACATTAGCCCAGCATGACTCATTCCAGCTGACAGAAGCATTTCAATCTCATTGTGTTATAAACTTTGATTTTTTTTCTTTACCATGGTGACATTAAATATTAATACGCTTCTGAATTCAAATAGTGTGCACAACCGTTTTTGAACATTAGACATTTTACGACCATTACGTCACAGATAATACTATTCCCCGTCGTACGCAGCAGCCACCGTAACCTAACGTGGATATTTCAGATTTCATCTTTTAAAAAAAACGACTAAAAATCTTGATGAAACAAGAGGCTGGTATATTTAAAAACTATTTTTGTTTCCTTCTTGAAGGGAAACTTTAAACATAGCTCTTCTAAGGGACTCAACTCGACATCCTTCAAAGCTTGTGTCCTTTAGTTCTAATTATAGACCAACACGTGTAGGAAATGATGTCCTTGGAATGTGTGGCGCACCATTAAGTAATCTCTTATTGCGCGCGCTTTTGAAACGAAACGGCCGTGCATTAACTGGTGCGGTTAAAGCTTCCCTGAAAAACGTGTATGGGGATAGGAAATATAAATCTGTTCATTAAAAGATAGGGTATCCTACTAAAATAAACTCCGGTGGGGTTGGCAAAATGATCTGGTAGAAAAAGCTTTCTGATTTAAAAAAAAAAAACCCAATAATTAAGAAACGGATAAAAATTTATTTGAGATGACGTAGAGAAAACCATCATTATTTGAGAAATTTCGGGGAGAAATGCCTTCACGTTGAAGCAATAAGAGATATTTTCAGGTAGAGAAAAAAACTTGAGGAATGACAATACATCGTGGGAGTGTCGGGCAGGTCGCCTTCGAAATGAAAACTGCAGAGACAAACTACACAGACAAACTACAGAGACAGACAAACTACAGAGACAGACAAACTACATAGACAGACAAACTACAGAGACAAACTACACAGACAGGCAAACTACAGAGACAAACTACAGAGACAAACTACACAGACAGACAAACTACAGAGACAGACAAACTACAGAGACAAACTACACAGACAGACAAACTACAGAGTCAGACAAACTACAGAGACAGACAAACTACAGAGACAGACAAACTACAGGGACAAACAAACTACAGAGACAGACAAACTACAGGGACAGACAAACTACAGAGACAGACAAACTACAGAGACAGATAAACTACAGAGACAGACAAACTACAGAGACAGACAAATTACAGAGACAGACAAACTACAGAGACAGACAAACTGCAGAGACAGACAAACTACAGAGATAAACTACAGAGACAGACAACCTACAGAGACAAACTACACAGACAGACAAACTACACAGACAGACAAACTACAGAGACAGATAAACTACAGAGATAGACATACTACAGAGACAGACAAACTACAGGAATAGACAAACTACAGAGACAGACAAACTACAGGGACAGACAAACTACAGAGACAGACAAACTACAGAGACAGACAAACTCAGCTTGTAGATATTATGTAGTTGGCAGGAAATGGATATTGTCCGTCTTCGGGTTATCCTCCGCCCTATGCACATTTCTTCGTATCATTTGCAAAGTTTGACACTGTATTACACACACTTAATATAAATGAGGGAAGTCAAAATTATTCATATGTGACCACAGTCAACATTATCGTCAGATGTGACTACAGACACTTGATCTTCAGATGAGACAGTCAACATTACCTTCAGGTGTTACCGGTTAAAGTTATCTTCATATGAGACAGTGAACATTACCTTCAGGTGTTACCGGTTAAAATTATCTTCAGATGTGATCAGTCAACATTACCTTCAGGTGTTACCGGTTGAAATTATCTTCAGATGAGACAGTCAACATTACCTTCAGGTGTTACCGGTTAAAATTATCTTCAGATGTGATCAGTCAACATTACCTTCAGGTGTTACCGGTTAAAATTATCTTCAGATGAGACAGTCCACATTACCTTCAGGTGTTACCGGTTAAAATTATCTTCAGATATGATCAGTCAACATCACCTTCAGGTGTTATCGGTTAAAATTATCTTCAGATGTGATCAGTCAACATTACCTTCAGGTGTTACCGGTTAAAATTATCTTCAGATGTGATCAGTCAACATTAATCTTTGATGACAGCGCAGCATGCCCCACCGATATGGTCGGTACAAACTGACCTTTCCACTATCGGACACCTTAGATCATCAAACATCTCACCATGTCAACCATCTCACCATGTCAAACATCTCTGTCTCGGGGACACAAACAGAGTTGAGCACGTCTTGCCAAGCACACGATGCAGACGATTAAACTTCAGACGTCCGAAGCCTTGCATTTAATGGGCCTGGAGTGTTCAATATTTCTAAATGAGAGCTCTTCTTCTTAAAAGATATGTTATACTTTTATGGCCTCGTAAGCAGTTTATTTTTTTTTTTAAAATTACGTCAAAGCGCCTTTGTATTTAAAGGGAAAAACAACAACATTTCTTGGCGTCCCACTCATGTCATTAAAAAAGTATCGAATTGAAACATTGTCGCAGCATTAAAAAGAACGTATTTATGCTGCTGAAGCAGGCGTGTGAAAAAATAAGAGTGATAATTTAATAGCGGTTTTAAGAAATAAACTTGGGCCCTGCGATACATACAGCAACACGCATAACCATTGCAGCAATAATGACTTGAGAATGGGACATTTCACCAACGGCCATCTCACCAACGACCATCTCATCAACGACCATCTCATCAACGACCATCTCACCAACGACCATCTCACCAACGACCATCTCACCAACGACCATCTCACCAACGACCATCTCACCAACGACCATCTCACCAACGACCATCTCACCAACGACCATCTCACCAACGACCATCTCACCAACGACCATTTCACCAACGACCATCTCACCAACGACCATCTCACCAACGGCCATCTCATCAACGACCATCTCACCAACGACCGTCTCACCAACGACCATCTCACCAACGACCATCTCACCAACGACCATCTCACCAACGGAGTGGATCAAGTAATTATGAAAAAGTGTGGAGCACAAAGATTATAGACCTGACCAATAGAATAGAAAAATTGAATATACCGGATAATGAAACTTGATCTTCTAGAGTCTCTCTTCAACTTTTAAAATTTAAATCAATCCCAAATTATGTTCAACCCTTTGTTTCAGTCAAGATTTTTTTTTTAAACTTTCATTTATTTTTGATGTTATATATTTTAAAAAAAAAGTTTTAATTTCATAACTTGTTCGCGAGCCGCAATGTGAACACAGAAGAGCCACAATGTGAACACAGAAGAGCCGCAATGTGAACACAGAAGAGCCACAATGTGAACACAGAAGAGCCACAATGTGAACACAGAAGAGCCGCAATGTGAACACAGAAGAGCCGCAATGTGAACACAGAAGAGCCGCAATGTGAACACAGAAGAGCCGCAATGTGAACACAGAAGAGCCGCAATGTGAACACAGAAGAGCCGCAATGTGAACACAGAAGAGCCGCAATGTGAACACAGAAGAGCCGCAATGTGAACACAGAAGAGCCGCAATGTGAACACAGAAGAGCCGCAATGTGAACACAGAAGAGCCGCATGCGGCTCGGGAGCCACCGTTGGTCTAGTCGACTAGCAAATAGTTGCGACTTTCGTTCGAAGAACCATGACATCTTCCTATACAAATCTGGATCCCCGTACACCATTGCCCACATGTTGGCTCAGTCCACGAGCATCCGATACGAAGATGCAACAACGTCTTTAAACAATCAGCCAATTGACGCATCACTAATTATCAGTTTCAAAGCTGTTTGTTGTGGACATCGCAGGGGGATAAAGGCGACACCTTCTGAGGAACATGTGCGTAATTCTCATTATCGGAACACTTACTGGTCAACCAGATGTCCCTTCGATTGACGCAGTTATTGGCCAACCAGGCTTCCCTTCAAATTCCGTTAAAATGAAAGATATTTAAAGTGGTATATAAAGATTTTGTTGTAAATTTAAAATTACGTTTTCACAATGTTTAGAGCTAGTTCGGGGGCACGAAAAGTGTTAGGGTAGGCCCAACGTTTAATACTTTAAAACACATGCCATCTAAAATATTTCTCTGGCGTAGAACTCAGCTGTCAATGACCTCGTTTAGTGACAATGATGATTTAATTAGTGACCAATTACATTTGGTAATGTTAAGAAGGGGAAAAAAATGTAGTTCAGGGTAGAGACCAACAGAATTTCGGCTTCGGTTTCGGCGCCGAAAGTGGACATTTTATCACTTTCGGTCAAGTTTCGGTTTCGGCCGAAACTGAAAGTTAACTTTCGCCTTAATTTCGGTTTCGGCCAAAAGAGAAAAAATTAACTTTCGGTTGTTTTTCTGGCCAAACAAGATGTTTATTTATTAATATTCACGATTATCTCATTTTTTATAAAAAGAATGTAAATGTTTATACTTTCTCCCATCATTTTCGATGTATGCAGAATGTATGCGGGAACGAATTTCAAAATATCTAAATATTTCATTTTCGGCTTCGGTTTCGGCCGAAAGTCATTTTTAACTTTCGGTATTTTTTTTCGGTTTCGGCCGAAAGTCATTTTTAAACTTTCGGTATTTTTTCGGCTTCGGACGAAATCAGAAAATCACTTTCGCTCGGTCTCTAGTTCAGGGGCGCAAAAAAAGGGTAGGGTAGGGTAGGTGCATAATATCTCTCAAAAAATAGTTCTGAAATCTTTGAATGATGTTAGAAACGTAGACATTATTACATAGATACTCCTGTTTTTTAAAAAAAAAGGAATGGTGATGAGTGTTCGCAATAGCAGGTAGAAATAAGGACAAAGTGCCTGCCATTATTCTATCGATAACATCGGATGATATATTCGAGTAGAAAATGTAAAGATACCTCCTTCTTTTTGTAACACTTGCACCCAGTGGCGTAGCTAGGGTTGGTGTCACCCGGTGCGATAAACTCATGGTGTCCGCCCCCCCCCCTGACTTCCACGAACGATTTCTTCTTGTTATAATAAGTTCCCATTCTAACAATGACAAGAGCAAAAACAAAGTAATCGAAGGTAAGGAGGTCAATGGATGTAAGAACTGTAACAACGTTAAATTATAGTTTGTTTTTTTTTTACAAAATATGTACTCTATTTGAAATGTTCCGTTCCTGGTCTTCCAACCTGCAAACATATCAATGGTTCTCAAATGTTGAAGGGTGGTGCTAGTGACGAATAGGAGAAAATATTAATGTTGGAGTAATTCTGCGTTTCGATATTTTTGGTTTCAAAAACCCATATAAAAAATGAAAATACATGTAAATTAATGATCAAAGGATATTAGGAGATTTTGTGAAATATAATTTTGTTTAGCCTACCCTAAAAGTGGGTGAAAAGTCCTTATTGGTGTATTTTATTTTTACCGATTCCGTTCATGTACTCGAAATCGCCCGACCACATCGTAACTCTTATCCAACGAAAGCTCTATTTCTCAGAATTAAGATAAATATAGCATGTTGTCACTGACTTACGGAAGTTACCGAACACTTAAATCGGCGTTGAATCAATTTATTTCATGAAATTCGGTTAGAACGAGCAGAGGCGTAGCGAGGGAGCGGGGCAGGGGGGACAGGTGTCCCCGGGCGCCAGCAAGTTAGGTGCGCAAAAATGTGCTTTGATATTATTTTATAGATGGAAATAATGGAATTGAGAGTTGAAAAAAAAGAAAAAGGGGCGCTTAAAAATGGCTCTTGTCCCCGGGCGCGAATCTTGTCCCCGGGCGCCAAACACCCTTGCTACGCCTCTGAGACCGAGCAGTGTGTGCTCTGTAGAAAAGCAGTTTTTAAAGTTGGTGTCTTCCCTGAGATACCGTCACCCTATGCGGTCCGCAACTAGAGACCGACCGAAAGTGATTTTCTGATTTCGGCCGAAGCCGAAAATAGGCCGAAAGTTTAAAATGACTTTCGGCCGAAAACGAAAAAATACCGAAAGTTAAAAATGAATTTTGGCCGAAACCGAAGCCGAAAATGAAATATTAAGATATTTTGAAATTCGTTCCCGCATACATTCTGCATACATCCAAAATGATGTGGGAAAGTATAAATATTTACATTCTTTTTATAAAAAATGAGATAATCGTGAATATTAATAAATAAACATCTAATATAGGGGTCTCAAACTCGCGGCCCGCGAGCCATTTTTGACCCGCTAGACGATATTTTGCGGCCCGCTACATGACAGAAAAGTTTAGTGTAAATGCGCCGGCCCGTTTCCCCCATTCTCATATCTATAACGTGACTTTCGGCGACGGTTTCAGTCGAATCTCACCGACTAGTCTAATTGTGATTTTTTTTTTTTTTTTTAATGTTTCTATATATCTTTTTATGCCAGGTCTCTGGCAACAGTGAGTAGTTCTTGAGAACCCTTAGTGATTTTATTTCTATTTATAAAGGTTGAGCAGTGCCCGCTCTCATTCAGACACTACCTCCTGTGCCCCCCCCCCCCTCTTCCCCCTATGATTTGAGTTTGAGACCCTTGATCTAAGAATACTTAGGATTTTACCATTTTAATATAAAAATAATTTAAATTGCTTTACAATTTTTTTTAAATTAGTATGGTAGGAGAAAATTTGGGGGGAAAGGGGGGGGGGGAAATTAATGCAAAATATTTTTATTTAAACAGAGTCTCTAAAAAATGTTGTTCTAAAAGATCGCTTAATTTGTTTTTAAAGATCGTTTAGTTGGTTGTTATTGAACGGTTAGTTTGTTGTTAAAGATTATTTAGTTTGTTGTTAAAGATCGTTTAATTTGTTGTTAGAGATCGCTTAGCTTGTTGTAAATATCGCTTAGTTTTTTCATAAAGATCGATTAGTTTGTTCTTAAAGATCGCTTAGTTTTGTTGTTGAAGATCTTTTAGTTTGTTCATAAAGATCGCTTAGTTTGTTGTTCAAGATCGCTTAGTTTGTTGTAAAGATCGCTCAGTTTTTTCATAAAGATCGCTTAGTTTGTTCTTAAAGATAATTAATTTTGTTCCTTAAGATCGATTAGTTTGTTGTTAAAGATCTTTTAGTTTTTTCCTAAAGAACATTTAGTTTTCTGTTAAAGATCGCTTAGTTTATTCTTATAAATCATTTAGTTTACTATTAAAGATCATTTGTTTTGTTCTTAAAGATCATTTAGTTCGGTCTTAAAAATCGTTTAGTTTGTTCTATTAGAACGTTTAGTTTGTTATTAAAGATCGCTTAGATTGTTCTTAAAGATCACTTAGTTAGTTTTAAAGATCGTTTAGTTTATTCTTAAATGTCCCTTAGTTTGTTATTAAATATCGTTTAGTTTGTTTTCAAAGATCGCTTAATTTGTTCTTAAATGTGGCTTAGTTTGTTTTTAAATATCGCTTTCACTGAGTATTAAAATGACCGAAAAACTGAGTCACTTTCGGCCGAAACCGAAGAAAAACCGAAAGTTAACTTTTCTCTTTCGGCCGAAACCGAAATTAAGCCGAAAGTTAACTTTTCAGTTTCGGCCGAAACCGAAACTTGGCCGAAAGTGATAAAATGGCCACTTTCGGCGCCGAAACCGAAGCCGAAGCCGAAATTCGGTCGGTCTCTATCCGCAACCCCACACTCCCCATTGCTACGCCTCTGCTTGGACCCACCGGATATGATCTCAATTTTGGTTTGAACACACTGCCCTAGCACGTTTAATCTTGACCTTATATAGTGACGTCATAGGGATCTCTGGCCATTACAGTGAGGCACAAAGGATCTCAAGAATTAGAGCAGCCAAAATTTTTCATTGCATGCATGGAAAAGCTAAATGTAATGATACAGCCAAAACGATAACAATGAAACAGCCGAGAGCAAAAAAAACTACAACAGAAACACACAAAAAACAGCCAAAATAACAAATAAAAAAAGCGGCAAAAATTAAAAATATAAAATTTATTTTTATGCACACCTACGGATCCCACTAACCCCCCCCCCACCCCACCATCAAGAAACACACAATACTCACCTCTGAATTAAACGCTCGAAAACTACAGCGTATGTAATTTCTAAACCTTGGATAAATCTGTAACTTGAAATGTTTTTGGCTGATCTTATTTCAAACGATCGTTTTGCTCTAAACACGGCTTCCCTTACTCTTTCTCACACCGTTACGTCCTGACAAGTTTCTAATTCCATCTATGGCCTAACATGAGTCGAGATGCCAGGTGCTGGAATCTGACAGGCCCCTTTATAGCTCTTCTCACCTTTCTACACGTGCCGGCGCAAGGTGAGCCACACTCACGCTCTCTCACACACACACACAGACACACACGATTTTTCTACAGTGCGCTGGGGAACGTACGTGGGCTGAAACAAAAACGACCAACGAACACAAAAATGGAGTTACCTCAACATGAAACGATATTTAATACTTTTAATGTATAGTTTGTTTGATGGTTTAATTTCATGATGTGATATGGGAGTTTGTGTATTGCTTTGAGGGGGGGGGGGGAATCGGATTATGATAGATTTCATAACTTCAGGATGTTGTGAAGGCGGGTAAATGATACCCCATTGTTGTAAGTCTGTGGGACAGTTACGCACCGACAGAACTATTTTCATTTCGTCGGATGAATCTTGCTGGGATGAATCACCGTAGGTATTTTTGGTGACGTAGTGTCGTAATCACTTGTTATTTTCATACGACTGACCACCGACAGTTTCCCTGTCAATGTGTTCAGTGTTGCACCTGCGTTAACAGGGCATCGTATACTTTCATGTATGTCCCTCGTATAAGTTCGTCATTTAGTTCCCTTGTGTGAGTTCTTTATTTATTTCCCTTGTGTGAGTTCTTTATTTATTTCCCTTGAGACAGTTCTTCCTTTATTTCCCTTGTATAAGTTCTTCGTTTACTAGCCTTACATACGTTCTTCATTTATTTCCCTTGTATAAGTTCTTCATTTATTAATCTTGTATATGTTCTTCATTTATTTCATTATTTCCCTTGTATAAGTTCTCCATTATGTTGGCCTGTCGTCCCAGGCGGGGAAAGGTGAGGTGGGCGGGAGGGGTCCACCCAGGGGGCCCTTCTCTTCTATACAGGGGCCGACTTTTCAGCCTGTTGCCGAGTTCTTTTTACGGGTGTTAGGCAAACAACGTGGCTCGCCCCGGAAGGTAATAACCCTTGCTACGCCACTGCCTGTTATTTATTTATTTAGGAATTTTTATATAGCGCTTACATTAAAGCTGTAAGCGCTTTAAAATTATTAAAAACATGTAAACTAACTAAAATAAAAATGAGACATTAGGATAGTAACTACTATACTATAGAAACAATTAAAATGGCTATAAAACGAGGACACTTTGGCACGTTTTGGCCTATACTACAGGATCAACCCGAGACAGAAAATGAGGCAGGGCAAG